CCCCCCCACCCCCCGCACTAAACTGCAATATGGCGACGATTACCATAATTACCAACCAGCCCAGGACCTCGGGGTCCTAAGCAGGCTCAAGCAGCAGGGCCACGTCGTTGACAAGTGGGGCGTGGATGGGGGCGCGGCGCGCGGAGACGCGGCGGCGCGGCGGGGAGACGTGCCCGCGCGCCGCACTTTGACACCAATCCCACTCTCTGCTTTGACAACGTTGACCCTCGCGCAGCCCGAGCAGCGCGGAGTACTCCCCCAAGGCCCCGCCGCCGTGCCCCCTCCCCGCCGCCACGAGTCAGCCAGTAGTACTGATGTATGAGTGATGTTTCGACATGGGGGTCTCATGACCGCCCGCCCGGGGCCGCGTGACTGCTCCCCCGAATTGTGATGTGCGAGCCTTATGTAAATTGCACGTGCCGCCGCCCACACTGGTCAAACAAATGTGTGATTGTTTCACTTTGACGGCGAGGGAATCGCAATAATTGTAACCGGGTATCAGAGCGGACGCTACAGTGTTGCAGGCTTACATTTACTCCCTTCCACTACTTCCAGTCTGCACAACTAGTCGCAGTAAAGCACGAAGTTGCGCTTACCGAAAGGAGTACATAGACACTATGGGATGGGGGTTTACCTTGCGTAATACCCTGTACACCTAACCTGAGTATTACACGGTATTACGCATAATGTAATACCTGAAAAAAATCAAAATAGACTTTAAAATGGTAAATATTGTCATGTAATATCGACGCAATACCTCGTAATACAGTTTAATACGGAGTACTCGGTACATACTTTCTGGGACTGACCCCCTTCCTTCTGAATTCTATAATTTTTTTCTCTAGAGCATACAAAAAGTTTTAACTGCGTTGTAAGCCCCTAATTTGTCTTGTTGTGCCTCTTTTCCATGCGAGGAGAGTAAACAGGGCCTTTGCAAATCGTCCTCTGTCGGCTTTTGTTGGATTATTGCAAGATTTGAGTAATGTCGGTTTACTACACCACTTGTGAAACATTGCCCAACTATGTGCGGGGGGTTGCCACACATGTGCAAAGCTCATGCACCGTTATCTCGGAAGGGCGGTCGTAGGATGACTGACTCGCAGGATGATTGACACCACCCTCAGCAGCAGCCTCAGTTCGCATGTTCGCAGCAGGCAAAGATCAAATGACACTGCCTCGCTGACCGCCGCACACGCCCTCGGACGCTGCAAGATCGCCTCGCGGCAACGATAGAGGGCTCTGGGACTTTCGCCGACCCGGTGGTTACCATGAGCGACAGCAGAACTCATGCGAGACGCGATGAACTATCTCTCGGGCATTTTGCTTCGCGCCAGTGTGTGTGTGTGTGTGTGTGTGTGTGTGTGTGTGTGTGTGTGTGTGAATACCGACCTGTGACGCTCCTGTGCGGGTGGGCTGCCTGCTCGCACGGCGCCGGTGCGCAGCCGTGCTCACGTCGCGCTCATGGTTTTTACACAAAAATGTGCAACGAGTGGTCTGGCCGCCCGCTGCGCGTACAAGCCATCATCTCGAACGCGGATAATTAGGTGACCTTTTCCTTCTGGGATTGCAAATCTGTTGCGCCGCTCTGCCTCAGTTTTTGCCTTGTTCCAGAAAAGCGATATCCATCATTGGTGGCTCACTCACACGGTCCGACTCCACGGAGGTGGGTTTGAGTCATCTGGGCGGGACTATAAAACACTCGGACCGCGCGCGTGTGTGTGTGTGTGTGTGTGTGTGTGTGTGACAGCAAGGCGTTACAGAGGGCAGTGCTCTGTGGCGCAACCCCTGCCTGACATTCGCACACCCTACGCCAGGCTATGAAGTAGCGGGTGTTCAAACAAGATCATAAAATGAGCGTCGTTCGCTGACCATAAAACAACTCTTTAGTCGTGCTTAGAACCTACCCTCCCTCGCTCCTGGGCGACATAAACATTTCGCGCTCGACTTCACTTTTCCCGGCGGGAGTGTGGCAATTTGAGAATATGTCGGGTAAAATTTCTAGAGCGAACATGTGTGTGTGTGCGCGTTGTGTGTGTCGCGATTTCTAAATTATGTCTCTTCTATGAGGACGGCCTTCCATTTGCTTTCGAAGTAATAGTCCGTTTACCTGCGCTTTTGACAGCTCCCCGCTCTCGCAACTTCTCGTAAGCTACTTATCAATGAACTGTAGCAATAGTACGCCTCGCTTGCGCGCGCTTCACACAAACGCTTTACACACACAGGCAGACACACACACACTCACACACACGCACAGACTCGCGCTCGGGCCCGGCTCGCACGGCGCATGCGCGGCACAGCGCGCGCCGCGGCGCTGCCAACTGTCGCGCGTTTGAATATCCCGCCGTTCCGACTCGAAGACCCCCGCGTTACGTGGAAGGTGAGGTCGGCTTCGCACCCCGACACCCTTATTCGCCACATCTCGGGTGTTCGTCGCGTTCGGCTCGGTGCGTCCGTCTCCGCCCTGCTCGCCGAGGACGTCCTCGGGCTGCATCTCCGTCGCTCACGTTGGCGGCCGTGGCGCGCGGCCGCGGGAGGGGGTTCGCCTTGGCCGGCTCGGCTGGCGAGCGCCAGTCGTACCATGGAGCGCTCCGGAGCAACTCGTTCTTGCCGCTTGTAGGGGACGCCGGCCCAGTGGCCTGACTGTACCGTACCCAGCCGAGCCGAGCGCGAACGTGACCTCACCTCGTCCACATACACACCCGTGCGACCGCGCCTACCCCCGAGAAGAAGTTAGCGATTCCAACGGGAGTGTGTGTGTGTATGTGTGCGCGCGTTTCTGAGTGAGAGGGAAGATCGCAGCAGAGCAGTGCATCAGTCAGGATCGATAGCCATAACAACGGGTAGGTGTCTCTGTTGGCGGGCGGCATGCTTGTCATTGCGCTGTGCCACGTGCTTGAGTTTGTCTGTCAGTTAGTTTCGCGCGCCGATTTTGAAATCTCGCCGCGACGTCCGTCTCCGCCGCGGCCGCCGCCGGGCCTCCCCGGCCGGGGGGTGAAGTGCCTGACACAGGGGGAGGCGACGATTGGCGCGTCGCGTGCGCGCAGGGATGGTGGTGACGTAGCCCTCCCCTTGCCAAGGGAGGAAAGTGACAGTTGTATTGCATCACATTGTCGAAGTTGTTTTTTTTGTCGCTTTTCCTTTTATTAAAAGCCTGCTCGCCGCGTCCTTCCCTTTGGCAGTGTGTAACCGACGTTACCACCTGTATTACTAAACACCCGTTCCATCCTCGGCATCACCGCGCCTATTTATAACTTTGATCCGCCACTCGTCACGTAGGCGGGTTAATTTTACTCTATGGGTGTTCAGTCACGTAGCCCCCGCGGCCCACCCGCGCCGGGCCCCCGCGGCCCGCCAGCGCCAGGGCCGCCGCCGCGCTGCGCCAAACAGAGTGTGCGTAGTGTTAAACGGCTGGCTGCTTTACATCATTTACGCCGCATTCTAATCCCTGTATACTTTCGGCGTGTGGGGAAGAGGCGATAACCAAGTGTGAGGAGCAGGAGTATAAAAAATTGGCGTGAAGCGGTCGTTTGCGGCGGATGTGTTCCCTTCTGCACGTCCGTTATTGACTTGTGTCCGGTGGGCAGGAAGGAGGGGAGGGGTGG